AATTTATAAAATATTGCATTATATAAGGTGTGCAGACAAACAAAAGCGAATAAATAAAGGAGCCACAAATCATTAGTTACAGTGCATGCCTCTGTTCTAATTAGCTAGGACAAGTGATCAATCAACAGAAGGTGTGCATTTGTAAATTGTATTAAACCAGACTGCATGAAATCAACATATAATAAATGGTTTATATGCATGTATATTATATAACAAATACGAAAAGGGGGAGATTCTATATATATAAAAACAAACCAAATGTGAATGTTTGTTTATTTATTTTTACAAGATGAAAACAGATTGTATTCATAATAAGACCAACATGGTGAATGTTTGTTTATTTATTTTTACAAGATGAAAACAGATTGTATTCATAATAAGACCAACATGCATGTTTGTGTGTTTATAAAAGGACAACTCAGCAAATATATCATCATCACATGATTCGCATAAAAACAAACCAAAGAATTCCATATCATACTGGACATAATCATAATCATTCGACGGAAAGCTTGATACTATGTAAATAGACAAAGGTCGAATGTGTTTACCTTGCAGAAGATGTACACCTAAAAATCTATTACTACGAACCGATGATCACGAACCGGCTAGAGCCACTCGTGCTGATTGTTGGCCTTCTTGTTTTGATGATGTTTAACAAATAATTTACCACTAATGTTGTTTGTCTAATATTTGTGTTTTCTTATTTATTATAGACAAACAACGTTGTTGGAGGATGGATGAAATAGAGCTTCAACGATCATATCCAAAGGAGGTTAGCGGAATGTCGGGTTGAAGCCTTGCAATTCAAAGTTAAAGATCAAGTTCAAGCTTCATCCACATGTGTACCAAGTTGAGCTATAATGAAGATCAAGATCTAGCTTGGGTAACTAGTTTAGGTTTTATATTATGTGTGTTAAGTACATTAAGCTCAATATCTATACACACACATTTATTGGTTTCCTTGTATATATATATAGTTATATATATATACATAAGTTTTGGTTTCTATGCATATATATAGTTATATACATTTATATACATGCATGGTTTTGGGTTTTCATGTTTATAATATGAAATCACATATTTCATATTTACAACCTGATTTCATGTGTCAGTTCGCGGTCGACCGCCACGGTCGATTGCCATGAGTTCAGAAACTCATTATAGGTTTTTATGGCTCGCGGTCGACCGTGGCGGTCGACCGTAGCAAGTCCAGAGACTTTCGCGGTCGACCGTCGCGGTCGACCGTCGCTTGTCCAGAGCAGTAGTTTGGTTTTTTGTTGCTTGCGGTCGACCGCCGATATGACCGTTGGAAACCAACGACTATTTTTCTGAGTTGTTTGCTTTGGGCTTTTTTTGTCATTTGCTTGGGGTTTTTTTGCTGATGTTTTGAGTGGATATAAATACCTCATTGTCTTCAGCTCTTCAATAACAAGAGTGTGTTTTTAAAACAAGTTTAAAGAGTTTTAAACAAGGGTTTAAGTTTGGTTTAAGAAGCTTTTAAGCATTTAGAAGTTTGAGTTTGTAAAATCAATTTCACAAGAGCTTGAGGAGATCATCTATTGGTGTTTGGGCATCTAACTATTCTCCTTCCATCTCTTGTCATCTATCGAGAAGTTTTCTAACTCTTTTCTTTAGCAATTTTATTATTGATTTTCATATTCTTATTATTGCTAGTTTGCTATTTGAGTTAGATTTGATTTTATCTCATTGTTACACACACCCACTTGAGCTTATTGTATTTGCATTCATAATATATCTTGGGTTGGTGAGAGTTGTAACAATTGAGTGTGAGCTTTCATTGTATTCTCATCTATAGTAGAGAACAAACATTTATTGTATTGAGCCTTATTGTGAGATTCACTTTGTAATATACTTGTACACCGAGAGAAGTGTGTGGCGAGAGTTGGGGATCGTCCCAAGAGGAGTGGCGTCAGTTGACGAACCTAGGGAGAGGCTGTAACCGAGCACTTGAGGGAGACACGTCTAGTTCAACACTTGAGAGGGTGTAGAGTGGGATTGCAAGAGTGGTGATTGTAAAGTTTTCGGTTAGCTAGAAAACCGAGTGTGAGGTGTAAACGTTATTCGGGTAAGCGTAGAAAACCCGGTTGTGTTAGTGGATTTCTCCCCGGGAGTGGGGAGCGGAGACGTAGGACGGAAGGTCCGAACTCCGTGATCATTTGATTGTGTTTGAGTGTGCTTTGGCGTTTATTCTTATTTGTGCTCATTGCTCATTTCGTCATTATCTCATTATCTAGCTTGTCCACTACATTGTTTACATTTGTTTATGTTACCCTTGTGTTTGCATATCCTTGCATATATCATATAGTATATCTCTTTGCTAGGATATATCATTTGTTCATATTTCTTATCCTAGCTCATATTTCTTGTTGTAGTTCATACTTGCTAGGATAACTTGTTAATTAATTTTAATTAGCATTTAATCGGATTAGATTAGCATAAGATCCTAATCACCCCTCTAGAGTCTAACAATTGGTATCAGAGCTTGGTGCTCTTTGATTTAAAGGTTTAACCGCCTTGAGTTAAAGATCCAAGTTATCTTATTTGTACTAATCTAGTTATGATTACATTTATCTTGCTTGCATATATTCACATATATATCATGAATATAAACATATTTCGTTTAGGCTATGAATCAAATGTTGCTCCTAATTTTATTAATTTTCCCTATGCACAATGGGCTTCTAGATTTAAACTATTTGTGCAATCTAGAAATATCGACTTATGGGAAGTTATTGATTGTGCTTATATTATGCCCACATTGGAGAAATCCAAGTGGAGCAATCATGATAATAAAATGTTTACAATGAACAAGCTTTTGTTAGAATTTTTGCTTAATGCTTTTGACTTATCCCTTTCTAACAAATTTGTTCATTTTGATAGTGCTTACAAACTTTGGAAATTTATTGAAACATATCAAGGAGACTTGGAGGCAATCCGACAAGCTTTGGAGGATTCTTCTTCAAGTTCATGTGGAGCATCATGCACACGGCCACAAGAGGATAACTCTTGTGTAGTAAGCGATTCCGATTCCGAAAGTGAATTAACTATTGATGAACTCGCTTGTGCATATGATAGATTAATGCATGCGAATACAAAATTGCAAAATAATTTTATAGATCTAAAAAGCAAGCATGTAGATTTGAAATCCGATCATGAGTCGCTAGCTTCCAAACTTGATATTGTTGTTAAAGAGAACGCTATTTTGAAAGAAAACAACGAGTTATTAAGTTTGGAAAATAATAATATGTCTTTATCTATTGCTAGCTTAACTCTTGCTAAAAATGATGCCATGATAGAAGTAGAAACTATTAGGGATAAGTTTAATTTATTTAAATATGATCATGTTTCATCTACTTCTATTTCCAATGCTTGTATGCCTAACAACGTGTTGGATCATGTTAAAGAACGCATATCATCTTTAGATTCAACCCTTAAAACATGCATTGTAGATAATAAGAAACTTATGGACTTGGGTGCAAAGTCTAGCACTACAACTTCTAAACCCGTACACTTTGCACACTTGTATAGTAAAACTTATAAGTGTTCCATTTGTGGTCGTAAAGGCCATTTAGCTAAGTTTTGCTATGATGCACATAAATCCTTCAAGACTAAAGTTTCTTGTGCATCTCATAAAGCTTCTTCATCACATACACATGCACATACTCATCATGTTCATCATAAGCATGCTCATGTGTTTAAATGTGATTTTTGTGGTCGATTTGGTCATTTGGCCAAATTTTATTTTGATTTAAAGAGAGTTTCACATTTGCAAATTAATTTTAAAAGACCATCCATGTTTGCAAATGTTTCTAATGTTTCTCGTGCACAACCACTTGGTCAACGCAATTTATTTCAACCTTTTCATTACACAAATTGCAATCGTAAAGGTCATTTTTTATACAATTTTTATTTTAATCACTTTCGTGCACCACATGTGCCCAAATGGGTTCATAACCCTAGGGCTTTGAGCTTGAATGATAGGGGTCATGTCCCTAAATCTTTTGGTACCAAGAATACTTGGATACCAAAACAAATTTGATTTTAAACCAAGAATTTTAGTGTTTTTATTTTTATTTTTCTTGGTTTTGAAAAATGTATTTTAAACTTTTATGAAAACAATTCTTTTTAGGAGAAATTTTTAAAACCAACTTTTTTAGAATTTAATAGGCAAAATCGACCTAAAGTGAAAAATATTAGCAAAACCGACCCTTTTCTGAAGAAAAGGGTCGGTTTTGCAGCCGAATGTGTTTTACGAAGTGCACGGGACTGCTAGTCCCGTGCACTTCGTCTTGAGCAGCGGGTGGCCTCGCTGCTTAAAAGTCGGGACTGCTAGTCCCGACTTTTAAGCAGCGAACTGCACGGGACTGCTAGTCCCGTGCACTTGGTCTTGACCAGCGGCTGGGCTCTCTGCTTAAAAGTCGGGACTGCTAGTCCCGACTTTTAAGCAGAGAGGACTCGAGACCAGGTGAACAGCAAGTGCACGGGACTAGCACTCCCGTGCACTTGCTGTGCACACTTTTGTGCACTTTCTGGCTGCATTTCAAGCCGTTCCTGTACATACATCAACACAAACATCAACTAACAAGTCACATACTCATTTCACCACAAACCCACTTAGAAATCAAACATATCACACGATATTATCGACTACAAATCCAAAAATCACATCCCTAAATAGTTTTGTAATGTATATAACCTGTAGTTTACATACATCCAAGAACTCTCCTCCTCCTCCTTTGGCTTCGTCGTCCTCCATACCGCCCTTCGACGAGTTCGTGATCCGGTTGCGTTTGTGGTTGTGACGGTCCAGCTCCATCGTCGACACGTTGGGAAGGTCCAGCTTCATCGTCATTTCTGCATCCTCCTCGACTTTGTCGCTGTTGTCGTGTATATACGAATGGCGTTACCTCCCGTCCATCATGACGATCTTCGTGAGTTCGGTGTAAGGCTTGTTGAAGCCTCTGCATTATAGCCTAATATATTGATACATGTTCATGTGTTTCGGGATTTCTACCTGCGATAGATAGTTCAAAAACAAAATTTCATATTAAATTTGATATAACAGAATGTAAATTTGAGATTTAATTTTATCGTACCTGCTCGAGCCAATTCTAAGCCACGATTTGCAAGAGTTTGAACTTCATCTATTGCTGATACCTGCAAATTTTTCAGCACATAAAGTACCAATAAAAATGGACTTAGATCAAAATATGAAAATACTTACTAGTTCTCTCTCATCTATACCCTGGGGCACATATCCTCTTTGCGACTCAACCGGTATTGTGGTTGAATGAAGTATCCATCTTCGGGTTATGCCCCAATACCAAGTGTAGTAATCTGATTCCCGAGGAGTTGGTTCAATTTGGTTGACAATGCAAAAATGCCTATCATTCCATCTGTGTATAAAAGCTTGATGCACGATCATCCAGTTTATTTGCTGGCCTCCTTTTTTTGCCTTCCTCTCTATCTTTTCAACAAACTGCGGAACATGTTGTGCACGACCAAATTGTCGAAGCACGCGGTCCGGTACATGCATTTCTACTATCTCCAAACATATAAGAGGAACTCTAGCTCTCCATACAACTTGGTATTCTGTGCATATTGGGGGTAGCTGAGGTAGAAATTGGGTGTAGGGCTCCCATTCCATCTATAATAATTTAATGCAGTTGCATATCAGAATTGGGTTTTCAGTATGTAGAAAAAAAAGCGCATGTTTTTCGGTGAGAATTACCTGAAAAATCTTCATACGGTCAAGCTCATTCCGGTAGAAATCCAATTGTCTAGCCGGGGTCTCGTCATAGCATTTTTCGACATTCCATCTACAAAAAAATATTTATCATACATTTAGTACCACAATGATAACTACAATTATATTCGCTACATAAAAAATACAATACCTGCATCCCAGTGGAATTTGTCCATCTAATTGTAAATGCGTGCATAGTCTCGGCTTCAAATGAAGTCTCTCCCATGCCCATACTTGCAATAAGCTTAGACACCCTTTAAGCTCACTGTTTTGCATAAGTGCCACTTTTGACATCTCTCTATATAAATACGCCAAAACGGCACTACCCCACGATTTTGTACCACATACGTCCAAGTCCTCGAGGAGTGGTAACCACCTAGCATATTCACAATATTCCAATTTATTAAAATAAGCTAATTCAATGAAATACAGATTCATATTATAAATACACATACCTCGCATGCACTTTATCTTTACTTGAATCTGGAAATAATATAGTACCAATCATGTGCATAATGTATGCACGTGCATGTTGGTCAACCAAAATTTGTGGGGCATCAACAGGCAACGGTACTGAGAAGATCTCTCTCAACCACTTCAACTTAATATTTCCTCGAGGCATAGGCCCCGCTTCCGCGATTTGCGCCGCGATAGCCCCGCTTTTTGCCGCTTTTTACAACACTGATCAACCATAACGATACTCGGACCTCTCTGTATAGACAATGATAGTATAAGAATGCAATATTATGTAAATGCAAATATTACAATTATAAAGTAACTGAATTACCTCTGTACAGGATATAATATGTGAACGATGCTGAGCCTGGTCATATAAGACCTCATCACTAACCGGCCCAGGATCCATGGTGTACAAACCTGCACATATAATTATACACATGTTAATAATCAATCATATAGTAATTCAGTTTCTTTATTAAAGTATATAAAAATAAAAAAATGATATAAATTACCAATTAGTTGCTATCTATTGTGTCTAGATGGACAACGAGGTCGAGTATGTCCCGGTTGTTTGCAAAGACTACATTTTTTGTGCTTGACCACTCCTTCTCGCCCTTGATCCATGGTTCCCCTAATTCGCACAGATCGTGGTCGACCTGCTTGTCTCCGGTACTGAGGTGGAACTATATGTGGTCCATTATATTCAGGCCAATACCGACTATCATCAGGTGGATGAAAACTCTCACTATATGTCTTTTGATAGTGAGCTGTTGAATACCAAGGCGAGCAATACCGATTTCTGGGAATTCTAGCACCTCCCGGCTGATTAGAAGAAGCCGCAAGCACATGTGCACAGGGTATTTTTTGGAGTTGTGGTATGTTACATGTGCAAGTGCAATCAACATCAAATAGTTTAACGGTGTAGATACCGTCACAATCTTGTACCTGCCATTCGTTGTCGTTGAATACAGTAATTTGACATGATCTTGCTGCCTCAATTCTTCTATGCAAAATGGACTCATTTTTTGGTGTGTAACGTGTTGTCCAGTCTATGCCATCACCACGCCTTTTGTTGAAGTATGCGTTTAGTCTATAGAATGTTCTCGCAACCAAAGATTGTATTGGCATAGCTCGTGCTCCTTTAAGAACGCCGTTAAAGCTCTCGGAGCAATTAGTCGTCATCATGCAAAACCGCACACCCTCATCCTTACATAATGCCCACCGATGCTCGAATTGAGGCTTCAAGTTATTTTCAATCCAATTATGTGCATCTAATGACAAAGACTTGATTTTCTCCCTGCAATGTTCATACACTAATGTGTCGGTCGCACACCCGGCTTGCCACAAAAGATTTTGCAAATTAATCTCACCGTGTTTTTTCTTGAAATTATCTCTTATATGCCTTAAACAATATCGATGGTGATGTGGTGCACTAAAACCCTCATGTAACGCCCTTATAATTCCTTTCATCCTATCCGAAATAAAGGTAATTATTCTTGGCGCACGGACACTTGGAATCCACTTGTATATAAGTTCAAAAAACCACTTCCAACTAGACGTATCCTCCACCTCCACGACTGCAAATGCTAGAGGAAATAACCCGCCATTTGCATCTACACCGGTCGCTACAAGAAGCACGCCTTTGTACTTTCCATATAAATGTGTACCATCAATGCTCAATAGCGGACGACAAAAAGTGAAGCCCTTAATAGCAGGACCAAATGCCCAAAACACGCGAGTGAACCTCTCCATACCCGGTGCAATCTCTTCGGATAATATTTCGTATTCAGTACCCGGATTATTTCGTTTGATAGCTTCAAGATACTGTGGAAGTAATTCATATGATTTTTCCCAATCTCCAAAAATTTTAGACAACGCTTTCCTCCTTGCATCATATGCCTTATATTTAGATATCTTAATCCCCCGCATGTCATATACCCTCTGAAATATCTGACTTGCATTCAGATCAAGTTCAGCTCTAACTTCAGGCATAATTAGCTTACATATATAAGAAGAAGATGCAGAATAATCATCGACATCCACCGACGGGTTGCAACATGTATGAAGTCCGCAATATCTACATATTACAAATTGCCCATTTGATGATTTTCTCACAGCGGCATTTAGCAACCAAGGACATTTTTTATTTCTCTCATCTTGCTCATTTGCGTTCTCTACTTCATTCTTATCGTTAAAGAAGCATTTCACATTGTAGTTTGTTGCATTAGTTTTTACCGGCTTTAATTTGACCCGATTCTTGATGGACCATTCTCGGATTGCAAAAATCAGTGCCTCCTTGTTCTCGAATAGATCCCCTTTTTTAAAAGTGAAGTCCTCAGGTCGTTGTAAATTTGGCCCAACATCAACAAATCCAGCTTGAGAAGTATTTATCCAATCCTCATTATGAAACTCGTCGGGCAACGGATCTTCAGCTTCCACATAATCATTGTTAACGTTAAATTGCTCCATCCAACGGGCGTCATCATCGATTCCAGCTGCCACATGCATGCTATCAATTTGCACGCCATCTTCTTCAAAATGATCTGAATCATCATCTGCTTCATCTTCTATAATTGCTCCGACTGGTGGGTAACCCGTAACATGACCTGAAGCGTCGTTAAATATATTAGTTGACGTCCCACCGATAGAATACTCACTTAAATGTTGTGGTTGAGACCATGGCTCTTGACTTGGAGATGTCATAAAACCAATCGACTCGTTGTCTAAGTCAAGCATCCGAGAAAACTCTCCTTGAGGTCGTGAAACTTGGGCAAATTCCTGAATCGGATACTTCTCAATAAACAACTCAATTGACGCTTGCTTCTCGACTAATTGTTTCATGTCATTCAATTCCTCATCTTCGGTAATCTCCACGGCAATAGTTCTACTCTCATTTATCGGACAGTTGAAGAACACCCTAATTGTATATTCTTCTTTCTTAATTTTAGTAACTCTGTGTATTTCCCTAGTCATTCCATCAAAATTACACGACTTAGATAGCATGAACATTTTCCGAGAACCTCCATCATACACCGGCAAATTATTCACTCCGACGCCGAGGCTCCCATTAAAGAAACAAATAATGGGTATGGAGTTCGTCATCGAAACTGAAAATACACAGTCCATCATATGCAAATAATCTATTAATATCTGAATAAATCAACATCAAATTTATTACCTTAATCAATCCCAAATAATGGCTAAACCCTAACTCCCAAATCACATTATATCACATTATTCAACCTATACAATACCCCTCAACGAACAAAATCCAATAAATAACTCAAATTAGCATCAATTAAAAAGAACAAAAAAGCCCCATCAAATTCCCAAATTATTAAAAAAACTCATTTCCAGAACCCCAAAATCAACCAGAAACCCAGTATAAAAATTAAAACTTTGACAGAAATTAACCAATTAAAATCTATAATACCTTTAGCAGCAGCGGGGTCGAAGGCTCGAAGACGAGCGGCGGGGGGGTCGAAGGATCGGTCACGAGAGCGGCGGCGGGGTCGGCGGCAAAGGCTCGAAGGCTAGGGTTTTTTGGGGGGGGGTCGAAGGCTCGAAGACGAGAGCGGCGGGGGTCGAAGGATCGGTCACGAGAGCGGCGGCGGGGTCGGCGGCAAAGGCTCGAAGGCTAGGGTTTTTTGGGGGGGGGTCGAAGGCTCGAAGACGAGAGCGGCGGGGGTCGAAGGATCGGTCACGAACTAGAGCGGCGGCGGGGTCGGCGGGGACTGCAACTGGCGGTGGTCGGCGGCGGGGTCGACGAGGCTGAATTTTTTTTTTCGGGGGAGAGTCACGAGAAGAAAACTTTGACTGAAAGAAAGAACGAAAGAAAAAACGAAAGAGGGGGTGGGGTAGGCGGACTGCACGGGACTACTAGTCCCGTGCAGTTTCGTAACTGCAAAATCGACCATTTTAGGTTGGTTTTGCTAATTATTTTGTGAGACGGTCGATTTTGCCTAATAAAATTGAAAAATGGGCTGTTTTAAAAATTTCTCCTTCTTTTTATTGGTCAAATTCTTTTGTTTTCATAATTCCTAGTTTTGATTTTGATGAGAGGTTTGTATTTATATAACCCTCCGTATTGGATGTTTATTCCCAAATCATGTTTACCGGGTACTAAAAGTCCTTATATGGGTTGTTACAAGCTTAAGAGCTTGATAAATTGTTGCCTCTCTTGCATTTTATTAAAAATCTTGTTTTGATTTGTTTCTTTGAATTCATTATACTTCACTTATATGATGATATTTATGTGTTTGTGCTTATGGATCATCTATGTGTGCCTTATAATGCATTCTATATGTGGTTTGATCAAGTTCTACAAAGAAAGTTCTATTTATTGATCAAACATTATTTTTGGATATAAACTTTGATTTATGATTTCTTTTGGTTGATTTGTATTCATTTGAAAACTTTTTGCGTGATTCTCATGTTCTTTCTTTTGATTTCATAAATCTACTTTTATACATATTTTTTATGTTCTTTGATATGAGACACTTTTTTTTATATTGACATTTTATATGTGTTCTCATTATCTTTTTTGTATGTGAGTTATGTTTAGCATGTTTTTAATCTATGCTTTCTCACATATGTATGCCTTAGCATTCATTTCATACATTCATTAAGGTATTTTGATAGGGGGAGCAATCCCTATATCTTTCTATGTGTTATACTCACTCATGCATATTGTTAGGGGGAGATTTCGCTCTCTTATTCCTTTTGTCCCCTTTTTGATGTTGTCAAAGGGGGAGAAATATTATGAGTATATTCTTTCTTGTTTATATGCATGATATATTATATATTATATTTTCATTTCCTTTCATGCATATATCCTTTTTGTAAATTGTTTGTCATCATCAAAAAGAGGGAGATTGTTGGCCTTCTTGTTTTGATGATGTTTAACAAACAATTTACCACTAATGTTGTTTGTCTAGTATTTGTGTTTTCTTATTTATTATAGACAAACAACGTTGTTGGAGGATGGATGGAATAGAGCTTCAACGATCATATCTAAAGGAGGTTGGCGGAATGTCGGGTTGAAGCCTTGCAATTCAAAGTTAAAGATCAAGTTCAAGCTTCATCCACATGTGTACCAAGTTGAGCAACAATGAAGATCAAGATCTAGCTTGGGTAACTAGTTTAGGTTTTATATTATGTGTGTTAAGTACGTTAAGCTCAATATCTATACACACACATTTATTGGTTTCCTTGTATATATATATAGTTATATATATATACATAAGTTTTGGTTTCTATGCATATATATAGTTATATACATTTATATACATGCATGGTTTTGGGTTTTCATGTTTATAATATGAAATCACATATTTCATAATTACTATTGTGTTTTTGAAAACATTGCATAGAATATGCAATTTTGTGAAAACTTTATATTCTTATTTTTTGGACTTAACAATAATCATATACATATTTTATTAAGTCTATATAATCATTGTGCAAAGTTTCAAAACATGGTTTAGCCTAAATGTCAAAATTCACATGTTTACATTTTCGTGTTTTGAACTATTTTGCAAAATGATGATTTTGAGTAGTAGTTTGGTTTTTTGTTGCTCGCGGTCGACCGCCGATATGACCGTTGGAACCCAACGGCTATTTTTCTGAGCTGTTTGCTTTGGGCTTTTTTTGTCATTTGCTTGGGGTTTTTTTGCTGATATTTTGAGTGGATATAAATACCCCATTGTTTTCAGCTCTTCAATAACAAGAGTGTGTTTTTAAAACAAGTTTAAAGAGTTTTAAACAAGGATTTAAGTTTAGTTTAAGAAGCTTTTAAGCATTTAGAAGTTTGAGTTTGTGAAATCAATTTCACAAGAGCTTGAGGAGATCATCTATTGGTGTTTGGGCATCCAACTATTCTCCTTCCATCTCTTATCATCTATCGAGAAGTTTTCTAACTCTTTTCTCTAGCAATTTTATTATTGATTTTCATATTCTTATTATTGTTAGTTTGCTATTTGAGTTAGATTTGATTTTATCTCATTGTTACACACACTCACTTAAGCTTATTGTATTTGCATTCATAATATATTTTGGGTTGGTGAGAGTTGTAACAATTGAGTGTGAGCTTTCATTGTGTTCTCATCCATAGTAGAGAACAAACATTTATTGTATTGAGCCTTATTATGAGATTCACTTTGTAATACACTTGTACACCGAGAGAAGTGTGTGGCGAGAGTCGGGGATAGGTTGTAACCGAGCACTTGAGGGAGACACGGCTAGGTCCAACACTTAGTGGGTGTAGGAGTGGAATTGCAAGAGTGGTGATTGTAAAGTTTTCGGTTAGCTAGAAAACCGAGTGTGAGGTGTAAACATTGTTCGGGTAAGCGTAGAAAACCCGGTTGTGTTAGTGGATTTCTCCCCGGGAGTGGGGAGCGGAGACGAAGCGTAGAAAACCCGGTTGTGTTAGTGGATTTCTCCCCGGGAGTGGGGAGCGGAGACGTAGGACGGAATGTCCGAACTACGTGATCATTTGATTGTGTTTGAGTGTGCTTTGGCGTTTATTCTTATTTGTGCTCATTGCTCATTTCGCCATTGTCTCATTATCTAGCTTGTCCACTATATTGTTTACATTTGTTTATGTTACCCTTGTGTTTGCATATCCTTACATATATCATATAGTATATCTCTTTGCTAGGATATATCATTTGTTCATATTTCTTATCCTAGCTCATATTTCTTATTGTAGTTCATACTTGCTAGGATAACTTGTTAATTAATTTTAATTGGTATTTAATCGGATTAGATTAGCATAAGACCCTAATCACCCCCCTCTAGGGTCTAACACTGATAACGTATTGTAATATACTAAAGAAATAAAAATAAGAGACAAGAGAAGAAGAGAAATTGTAATTTTTATACCTCTTAATCCATTTCTATACATGGTATAATTTATAGATACATCATGGAAGATAAAAGGACATTGGGCTAATGAAAAGACACCAAGTTAATAGTCCACATACAAAGTAATGTCCGCATACATTTTGTCTTTTAGATTTTAACAGTTAAAAATAGGACAAATTTTCAAAATCAACCTTTTTAGCATTTTAAATAGCAAAATCGACCTCATCTCATTTTATTCAGCAAAACCGACCCTTTTCTTCTGAAAAGGGTCAGTTTTGCTGTAAGAAGGTTTTTACGACATACACGGGACTGCTAGTCCCATGTATTTCAAAATACACGGGACTAGCAGTCCCGTGCGATCGGGGGGTGGGGGTTAAAAATCAACCCGTGACTTCATCCTTTTTTTTTCACCCAAACCCTTTCACCCCACCTTCTTTCACCCGCTCCTCAAACCCATCGACGCCGACCATTGTCGCCGTCGACCAAGCACCCTCCGACCACCGCCGCCGCCGACCAAGCGCACTCCGACCGCCAACCACCGCCGCCGCCGACCAAGCGCGCTCCGACCGCCGCCGCCGACCAAGGTAAATGTGGTTTTTTTTTAATTTTGATTAGCCATGAAATTACGGATTTGGGAATGGATTTGGGTTGAGATTTAGGAATTATGGTTGAGATTTGAGAATGGATTTAATTGAGATTTGGGATTAAGGTTGAAATTTGGGAATGTATTTAGTTGAGATTAGGGAATTAGGGATTAGACATGAATAATGTGATTAGGGTTTAGACATGAATAATGTGAGTTGAGATTAGGGTTTAACCATGATTAGGGTTTAGACATGAATAATGTGATTTGGGATTAGGGAATTTAGCCATTATTTGCTTTGTAGTTGAGATTAGGGTTTTAAATTTGACTTTAAATTAAGATTAATATTTCCAGTTATAATAGATTATTTACATATGATGGACTGTTGATTTTTAGCTTCGATGGCAAACTTTATACCCATTATTTGCTTCTTCAATGGGAGCCTCAGCGTCGGATTGAATAGTATGCCGATGTATGAGGGAGGTTCAAGGAAAATGTTTATGCTATCTAAGTCATTAAATTTTGATGGAAGGATGAATGAAATACACAGAGTTACAAAAATTAATAAAGCATGGTATACAATTAAAGTGTTCTTCAATTGTCCGATAAATGAGAGTAGAACTATTGCTGTGGCGATTACCGACGATGAGGAATTGAATGACATGAAACAATTAGTGGAGAAGCAAGTGTCAGTTGAGTTGTTCATTGAGAAGTATCCGATTCAAGAATTTGCCCAAGTTTCACGACCACAAGGAGAGTTTTCTCGGATGATGGACTTAGACAATGAGTCGAGTGGTTTTATGACATCTCCAAGTCAAGAGCCGTGGTGTCAACTACAACATTTAAGTGGGCATTCTCTTGGTGGGACGTCAAGTACTATATTTAACGACGCATCAGGCTATGTTACGGGTGATCTACCGGCCGGATCAATTGTAGAAGAAGAAGTAAATGATGACTCAGAAGATATTGAATAAGAAGACGTGTAAATTAATAGCATGCATGTGGCAGTTGGAATCGATGATGATTCTCGTTGGATGGATCAATTTAATGTTAACAATGATTATGTGGAAGCTGAAGATCCATTGCCCGACGAGTTTCATAATGAAGATTGGATAAATACTTCGCAAGCTGAATTTGTTGATGTTGGTCCAAACTTTCAACGGCCTGAGGACTTCACTTTTAAAAAAGGGGACCTATTCGAGAGCAAGGAAGCATTAATCTTTGCGGTGCGAGAATGGTCTATCAAAAATCGGGTCAAATTCAAGCCTGTAAAAACTAATGCAACCAACTACTATGTAAAATGTTATTTCAACGAGAAGAATGAAGTAGAGCATGCAAATGAGCAAGATGAGAGAAACAGGAAATGTCCTTGGTTGCTAAATGCCGCTGTGAGGAAATCAACAAATGGGCAATTTGTAATATCTAGATATTGCGGGCTTCATACATGTTGCAATCCGTCGGTGGACGTCGATCATTATTCTGCATCTTCCTCTTATATATGTAAGCTAATTATGCCTGAAGTTAGAGCTGAACTTGATCTAAATGCAAGTCAGATATTTCAAAGGGTATATGATATGCGGGGCATTAAGATATCTAAATATAAGGCATATGATGCAAGGAGGAAAGCGTTGTCGAAAATATTTGGAGATTGGAAAAAATCTTATGAATTACTTCCATAGTATCTTGAAGCTATCAAGCGAAATAATCCGGGTACTGAATATGAAATATTGTCTGAAGAGATTACACCGGGGATGGAGAGGTTCACTCGAGTATTTTGGGCATTTGGTTCGGCTATTAAGGGCTTTACTTTTTGTCGTCCGTTATTGAGCATTGACGGTACACATCTATATGGCAAGTACAAAGGCGTGCTTCTTGTGGCGACCGGTGTAGATGCAAATGGCGGTTTATTTCCTCTAGCATTTGCAGTTGTGGAGGTAGAGGATACTTCTAGTTGGAAGTGGTTCTTTGAACTTATATACAAGTGGATTCCTAGTGTCCGTGCGCCCAGATTAATTACTTTTATCTCGGATAGGATGAAAGGAATTATAAGGGCATTACATGAGGGTTTTGGTGCACCACATCACCATCGATATTGTTTGAGGCATATAAGAGATAATTTTAAGAAAAAACACGGTGAGGCATATACACCATGGAGCCTGGACCGATTAGTGATGAGGTCCTATATAACCAGCCTCGACACCGTTCACATGTTATATCCTTTACAGAGGTAACTAAGTTTCTTATAATTTTAATATTGCATTCTTATAATATTGTATTCTTATATATTCATTTGCTTTACAGAGAGGCCCGGATATTGTTATGGTTGATCATAGCCTCAGCCATAGCCGTTGGCATCTAGAGGATGAGCGCATAATAGCAGCTGTAGGACGGGCCGGCTTCTTGACATGTTCAAAGCTTCGTTGGATGAGGCTCGATTGGCCCCTACTCACCGCTTTGATAGATAGGTGGAGGCCGGAGACCAACACTTTCCACTTCCGAATGGGAGAGTCTACTATTATGCTACAGGATGTAGCTATGATACTTGGTCTCCGTATAGATGGTCCATGCGTTACCGGCAGTGATAGACATTTTTGGCCGGACAGGTGTGAGGAGTTGTTAGGTGTAGCTCCAGAGTCAATGCCTGGAGGAAATATTAAATTGAAGTGGCTAAAAAATACCTTCTCGGTGCCGTTGCCTTTTGATGCGCCGCCAATATTGATTGAGCAACATGCACGTGCATACATTATGCACATGATCGGTTCAATATTATTTCCAGATTCGAGTAAAGATAAAGTGCATGCCAGGTATCATTTTTATCAGTATTTACAATTATGTCTGTTGATTTAGCTTATTTTGATAACTTGAAATGTTGTGAAAATGCTAGGTGGTTACCACTTATCGGGGACTTGGACACGTGTTGTGCGTTATCGTGGGGTAGTGTGGTTTTGGCGTACCTATATAGAGAGATGTCTAAGGTTGCATTCATGAAAAATAGTGACCTCAAAGGGTGTCTCAGCTTACTACAAGTATGGGCATGGGAGAGGCTGCATTTGAAGCCGAGACTATGCGTGAATTTACAATTAGACGGACAAATTCCACTAGGATGCAGGTATTATATTTTTTAACGTAGTAAATATAATTGTAGTTATTCATTTGGTACTGAATTTTGAAACTAACACAGATGGAATGTCCAAAAATGTTTTGACGAGACCCCGGCGAGACAGTTAGATTTCTACCGAAATGAGCTTGACCGCATGAAGATTTTTCAGGTATCATTTCTATAAAAACGAGTTTTTTCTTCTATATATCAACTTTCGTTTTAATGATATGCAATAATTATATGTAATACTCTGTAGATGGAATGGGAGCCCTACACCCCATTTCTCGATCATCTACCCCCGATATGCACAGAATACCCAGTTATATGGAGAGACAGAGTTCCTCTAATATGTTTCGAGATAGTAGAAATGTATGTACCGGACCGCGTGCTTCGACAATTTGGTCTTGCACAACATGTTCCGCAATTTGTTGAAAAAATAGAGAGGAAGGCGAAGAAAGGAGGCCAACAAAAGGACTGGGCAGCTGAGCATCAAAATTATATACACAGATGGAATGATAGACATTTTTGTATTGTTGAGCAAATCGAGCCAACTCCCCAAGAATCAGATTACTACACCTGGTATTGGTGGATAACTAGAAGATGGATACTCCATGCGACCACATCCCCGGTTGAGTTGCAAAGAGGATATGTGCCTCGGGGTATAGATGAGAGAGAATTAGTAAGTATTTTCAAATTTATTCATTTTTATTAGTATTTTTCAATATTGCTAAATTATGTTTTTTAAAAAATTTGCAGGTATCAGCAATAGATGATGTTCAAACCATTGCAAATCGTGGCTTAGAATTGGCTCGAGCAGGTAATATAGAATTAAATATAAAATTTACATATTATAATTTGAATTTTACAGTAATTTTTGCATTTCGGATTTTTTTGAATTATCTCTCGCATGTACATATCCCGAAGCACAGAAACATGCATCAATATATCAGTCGATAATGCAGAGGCTTCATCAAGCCTTACATCGAACTCATGAAGACCTTCATGATGGACGAGAGGTAGCCCAATTAGTATACACACGTCAACCACGACAAAGACGAGGACGACGCAGAAACGACAATGAAGCTGGGCCTTCCCAACGTGTTGACGACGGAGCTGGACCGTCACAACCACAAACGCAACCGGATCATGAACTCATCGAAGGTCGGGATGGAGGAGGCCGAAGACAAAGGAGGAGGAGAAGAGTTCTTGGATGTATGTAAGCTAATTGGTATTGTTATATAAATTACAATCCTATTTTGATATGTACATTACAAACGTATTTCAGGACAATAGATGTTTTTGGATTTGTAGCGGAGACTGTGGTGTGACTTATTAGATTTGTAAGTGGGTTTGTGGCGTGATTTGTTGGATTTGTAAGTTTGTGGTGTATTTTATGATTTTCAGATTTGATATATGTGTTTATACAGGGAATTAACATATGAGTTTGTATAGGGAATTGATATATGTGTTTATGCAATGGTGTAATTTATGATTGTTGCATTTGAAATGAGTTTGTACAGGGAATTTTCCCGCAGCAGAAATACATGCACATTATGTGCAGGAAATACACGAGACTGCTAGTCCCGTGTATTTCATTGTGCCCAGGAAGTGCACGGGACTAGCAGTCCCGTGCACTTCTTTCGTAGCTCTCTGTAAAGTGCACGGGACTGCTAGTCCCGTGCATTTCATTGTGCCCAGTCTTTTGTAGCTCTCTGTAAAGTGCACGGGACTGCTAGTCCCGTGTATTTTGAAATACACGGGACTAGCAGTCCCGTGTATGTCGTAAAAACCATCAGAAGAAAAGGGTCGGTTTTGCTAAACAAAGTGAGATGAGGTCGATTTTGCTATTTAAAATGCTAAAAAGGTTGATTTTGAAAATTTGTCCTTAAAAATATGTGTAATTAATGTTGCGTAGTTAGGACTTTTCATGTAGAACATTATTTGTAACGTGGGCCACGACACGTTAGCAACTTTTACCCCAGTAGCATTAATCAAGTTTTATTGTAGTTATTAATAGACTGTATTTTGAAGAGTTTTTAAGGAATAAATGGGGTTTAATTGTTAACGGGTGGGCTGGATTGGGCTTAAACATTCAAATATAAAAAACCTAGCTTGCATCACGGTTAACAAAATAACAAAGTCTTAAATAAAAGACCAATGCCTTTGAAATAGATGAACACTTTCCTTACCTTATTGGTGAGTAGGTATAGAATTTTTCCTTTTGATTTCTCAAAAGACTAAACAGCAATTATGTGCCTTATAGTTTCACTCACTCTCATATTTTCTAGCATTTATGTATCCTAAGTTGTTTAACATCAGCACATTAGTGCCCTCTATTAAGTTAACATGAAAATTTTCACTTTATGATACTCAAATGATAATTGATGTTATGTATCATACGAGGACATCCGGACTAAAATTTGCATGTCTGCATAATAGAGGGTACTAAAATGTTAACTTTACTTGTGATATATAAATGTTGCAAAAAATAAGTGAGGATATAAAAATGCAAGGTCACACATAAGTGCTATTTAGCGTTCTCAAAATAAAAGGGGATTAATCCTTAATTCTTCTTCCTCACTGTCCGGATGTCTTAGATATAAAAACAAAATTTGCCTCATAGCATTGTTAAAGAAGTAAAAAAAAGTATTCTTAATTAGACTCCAATATTCCTCTTTACCTTTAGTTTCCAATTTTGGCAACTTGGTGCATTTCTGGCTGAGGTTGAAAATAGCTTATTTGGAGGAATCTGTCTGGTAAAAAAAAAAAGAGAGACAAATAACTAAAAATAAAAAATAAAAAAAGAAATGTTTATATTTAACACATCTCTAATCAAACAAGGGTCAAAAGCTCCAAAACTACGAGAAAAAGAGATGTGTCAAGCCATTGGATATAAACCTTTGTTTGAGTTTCTGACCCTAGTTTTTGAAAAACAACCACGCGGAGTCATGAATGAGTTTTTTTTTAAAACAACAGTCAAAAACTCAAAAGTATTATTAATTCTCATTAATGTAATAAATAATCATGAACAGTCATACGAAAAAGTATGGTGAACAAACAATAATCATATCATATCATACTTCTTTTAAAAGTATGAATTTGGAAAAATCTTTCTATGTCAATATTACCCTTAGTGTTTTTTGAATATTACAATATTATTCTAATCTATTCTAATTATCATATCTTCTTTGAATTGGTAACTAAATGTTTATTCTATTCGTAATAAGACTTAACATGTTATTGGATAAAAGAGATACGTTTCATATAATTCAAATCCTTTACTTATTTCAGTTTGTAGAGAAATCTAAAAAATATATACTAACCAACACCTAAAAGTTTATGGACTTTGTAAGAAAATATTCTCTAAGTGTTTTAAATTGCAAAAACGCCCCTATAAATTAAAAAAAATTATTAAAGCATCTTAAAAATTATAAATTTTAATTATTTCAATCCAGTGAGAAATTTGAAAAACATATGCTAATTGTCCTAAATGATTATGTGGATTTATGCTACGAAATTAGAAATTAAGGAATTGAGAGAATTTATATCTTAAAATATCAAGAAGAGATGAATCCCATTTAAATTTAGTATTAAACCTTAGACATTAATAGCGTTGAGGGGTATTTAATGAGTTTATGAGAGTTGAAGGAAATAATATAGAAAGACTTAGAGAGAGAAATTAAATGAGAAAAAGAGAGAAGAGTAAACCTGGATTTTTTTAATAAAAGTTTAGAGAGGACCACATAACTAGGTAGTATATTAAAGAACTTGGCTTTAAAAGTAAATACACAAGATATAATGGGGCTTGTTGGGGATTTGAAACAATCAAATCGAATCCGTGCCCTTTCGGACCTTGTGTTTGAGAACAGAAAAGTAGGAAAATCATCTCAAATAAAAGATAAAACTTGCAGGAAAGTAAACAACAAAGAACACACTAGATTTAACGAGGTTTGGTAACGTGCCTACGTCCTCGGAAGCCACACCACATAATTCTTTGATTAATTAAAAAAGATTACAATACCCACAAATAAGTTTTTATCTCTCTGAGATCTCTCTAAAAGAATCATCTAAAAAAACTCTCTTTTTTCACGTGCAAAATAAACCCTAAAACGTATAAGGTATATATAGAGTCCCAGCCCAAAACAAATTCCCAAAAGAATCAGGATTCTGGAGATCCCGACTCCGGTCGACTGGACATGCAAAGTCGGTCGACCGGCCAGAATGACGAATTTTGCAGGGTCTGGTGTGCACATTTCGGTCAACCGGACTCCTCATGTCGGTCGATCGACTAGAGTGTCGATTTCTTCTCAGTTTCCTACAGGCATCGCAGTCAACCAGACCTCCTCCGTTAGTTGACTGACCTGCGACTGGACTATTTTCTTCATATTTTTTATTCAGCTTTGGGTCTACACACATAGACTAATAATATCCCATTTGGAGACCAAAGCACTATCAACGAGCTCACCCGAACTTCTGCCTTCTTCGCAAGCATCTTCTCCTACCCGAAAAAAATCCATTCTTCAATCATCATCATCTCGACGATCCCGCTAATCCTCCTAGTGTGGCTCCTCCGTCTTCGACTCCTATGTGTGAAGGCCAACCAAAGTTGCACACAACTCCGGTTTCTTGATGATCGCTGCTTTCGTCAACATATCCGCAGGATTTTGACTCTCCAATATCTTCTCTAGCTGTAACTTCCCATCCTCAATCAGCGAACGTATGAAATGGTATCATACATCGATGTACTTCGTTCTGACATGATATACTAGATTCTTGGCAAGGTGTATAGTGTTTTGGCTATCACAATAAAGAACTTCGTTCCCCAGTTTCAGATCCAACTCTTCTAGGCACTCGGTCAACTAAATCATCTCCTTGTTGGCTTCAGTCACTGTGATATACTTTGCCTCTGTGGATAATGTTACAATCTTCTGCAGACATAAGACCCAGCTCACTGCGACGCCAAGATATAAACATATCCCGTGGTACTTCGCCTCGTATCATGATCACTGGCGAAATCCGCATCCACGTATCCTACAGTACTAAATCCTTCCTCCTGGATATAGTGGCTTGTTCGTAGTCCTTCTCAAGTAACATAATATACACTTTACGTCTCCTAATGTTGCTTCCCTAGATTGCTTGTAAACCTGCTCACAACTCCTACTACATGGGTAATATCCGGCCTCGTGCAAACCATGGCGTACATAAGACTACCAATGACTAATGAATATGGCACTCTGCTCATATGATCATTCTCTGTATATGTCTTGGGTGATTGCTCCTTAGATAATTTGAACTGACTTCTAAGGGGCGTGCTACAACCTTAGCATTCTATATGTTGAACCTCTGAAGTACATTCTTGATGTATTCAGGTTGACTCAACTTTAACGTCCCTTCAGCTTCATCTCTACTGATTCGCATCCCAAGAATTTGCTTCGCTGCACCCAGATTCTTCATAGCAAAATCCTTCGCCAACTGTTTCTTCAAGT